ATGCAGTTAGGGCCCTTAAACACCAACGCTTTCTGTTTATTATTATATGTGAAATGTGGAACAAACAGCCAGAAATAAATTAGAAAAAGTTTTAATTTATCATAAACCATATAATCAATAATAGTTCATCAAACACTAGCCATAAATGGTGTATTGTGTGTTGATCTCGATTGAATGCACAAATTTAGCAATATTAATCTCTGTGGAATCTCAGAAAACAGTTGTTGGTAGATGTGATGCATAGGTGGGTGCCAGATAGTTTCACTTGGCTTTAGGTCAGGTCAGGGGTGCTCAAACTCGGCCCTGGTGGGCCGGTGTCCTGCAGCTCTAAACCAATTAAGCACACCTGAAACAGCTGCTCTAACTAGCGTACTAGAAGCATATGGTCAGGTTGGCAACTAAACTCTGAAACTTAAACTCTACAGGACACCGGCCACTCAGGACAGAGTTTGAGCACCATCCATTTGATGAACCTTTGCATCCTGGTACTCTGTATCTTCCTTTCTGTGTATCCATGACCATCAATTGGGCTGAATCCAGATTCACATCAAACTCAGCCCAGCAGAGTTTAGTTCTAACCCTACTTCAACACACTTACCTGTTGGTTTCAAACAAACCTGAAGAAGTCAGTTTTATCAGGTTTGTTTAATCAGGGATAAAGATAAACTGTGCAGAACTGTGACTTTGCAAGTTTAATTTGCATCTTTGAATAGAAACATAGTAAATATGACTCTTCAAGATTGCTGTTGAAGGAATAAGCCTATAACTGCTCAATCTTGTTCTTTACCTCTATAAAATGCTCTTTATAAATTGTTTTTATACATTTTATTATATAGATAATAACCAAAAATGTCTTTTCTCAATCAAACATGCTTCTTCACATGCATTTACCAAATATTTTAATATAAAAATATGGTCCCAAAAATGGCTCGTTTGCCCCCAGAAGAAAGGTCAAACCCACACCCACCTCAAATTTTATTGGTCACCAACTTATTATTAGACTTTCTTGTAATTTTTTTTTTTTTTTTCAATTAAAGGGGGGGTTTGTGGACCAAAAAAAAAAAGGTTTGTTGCTTGAGGGCAACGCCATTATGGGTTAATATTACATTATTATAGTTTAATTATACAACAGATTTTAAACTAGACCCAGTAAGGTTAGACTTAATCCTTTTTGGGGGACATAACACACTGATGTTACAGCACAGAATAGCTCTTTTAGTATTTGATTTGTCTGGTAATAACATCTCAAGTCCTTCACATAAAAAGGCTAGGTTTTTATAGAATAGATTTAAAGGATTATTTCAACACAAATGGAAAAGATTGGAGGAGAAAATATGCAACAATTTAGTAGTGTTAATATTCAGAACTGAGCGGATATTGTTAGTCAAATGGCTGAGTTAGCGATGACAGGATAGGGAAAAATGTAGAACTTGTAAGCTGAACCTCTAAAAGCACTTTAGAGGGCACAGAAATTGTCAGGTGTGTATTTTTGTAGGAACAGAAAAGACAGTGAAACAAAGTACGAGGCACTCAAACAATATTTAATGGCTTTGCGGATTGCCCAAGGCCAGTTTAAATTTAATAATGTGGCTTCACATGATATATTTTGAAAATGCCTATTGATTTATTCCACCTGGGCTGAAAAATGCATTCCACTTCGGAGCCACTATGCAAGATGAATCTGATTGAAATCGTATGCTGCATGACCAAAACTTTTAAATCAAATGGATGGACAAAAGGAGAGTGAAGAATTGATGTGTTACACATTTGGATGTGGCAAATATTGACTCTTACCACACAGTTTTATTTAGTGGAAAATAAACTCTTTTCAGAAAATGTCAAGCAATGAATCACCTTACGAATTGTGTGAAAATCTTAAGACCAAGTTGTCATGTATTGATTACTTTTTATTACCAGTAAATAAACAAGTAATTAAATATAGACAAATTTTCTACACCAATTTCTTAGGTTGCCTATAAAAACATGATTTTTTTTAATGTGAACTCTCAGCATTCTCACGCTGGAAAATCAAGCAGTGCACTTAACTAAATGAAATGAGTTGATTTGACTAACATTTTGTAATGAAAGTTCATTGAACTCGATAAAAACAAGTTATGTGAACTCTATTTCTGATTGTGTTAGACCAAACGTAAACTAAATGAGTCTGCCTAACCATGCAGATTTCTAGTTCCCAGCATGCTTTGTGTCAGACTGGAAAATAAACAATTCGGTGTTATTATGTATTTTGTAACATAGAGAAACATGCTTTAGACTTTAATTTTGTGTTAAGATTTACAGAGGTTTCTTAAAAAAAAACTGTATAAAACTCTAACAGACATTACAGATCCAGTTGTCAAAAAAACGTAAATATTTTAAGTGAATAACAATCAATATGAGTAAGGCATAAATCCTTAATTCAATTAAGTAATTTTAACTTCATTGTCTTAAGGCAATGAGTTTGCACAATTTAATTAAGTTAACTTAGCAATTTCATATTTACAGTACAATTCTCACTGAAGTTTACAGAGAACTTGTATTAGATTCTGAAATAGCTATTCTGTAGTGTAATGTCAACATGCCATGCAAAGAATAATAGGTTATTAAAATTTTAATTATCTGTGATTCAACACAAAGAAATTTTCAACCTTTTACTTTTAATCGTTAGCACGGTTGCCCCACAGTCAGAAAAGGTTACTGGTTTGAGTCCTGTTATAGCCAAGCTGTCTTTCTGTGCAGAGTTTGCACATGTTTACTGTGTTTGCATGAGTTTCTTCAGGTTACGTCTGTGTCCCCCACCGCCCAAATACATCCAGATTAGGTGAATTGGATAAACTAAATTGGCCGTAGTGTATGTGGATAGAACAGTGTGTGGGTTTTTCTAAGCACTTGGGGGGTTGAGTAAGTGCACACTCAGGGCTGGCTTGCGACAAGATGGGGAACTATTGGTAAAAAGTCTCATGTTGTTGTAATCCTTTTCTTTTGTTGATTGTTAATGATATTTTGGACCCCACTAACATCACTCAAAAATGCTTGTACTTTTAAAATAAACACAATTTAATTATTCAATCGACTTCAATTTGTAAAAAACAATTGAGTTAACAATCAGTTTGTGTTGGTTAACATGAAGGAATTGTGTGAAACCTCGCTTTTTTATTTATTTATTTTTTAAGTGGTCCATAGATCTGAAAAAAAATCTAAACGCACACTCACAGCTTTTGTACAAGATATAAATATCTAATTGCAGCATGTATTCCCATTGGCAATCAGACCTTTTCAGTTAAATGCAGTTTAATTTTCTCAAATGTTTCGTCGCTGTTGCAAACTGGTAGTTTACATCCAAACAGGTAGCTGAACAAGTGCACATTTGAAGAGTAAACCTGGAAACAGTTATCAGCGCTCTCTTGAAGCATCAGCAATCCAAAAGCATTGACGCATTTTTCCAATAACAACTATGCAAGCGATTGAAAGGGTTTACTCAGACAACCAGGCACCTAAAATTCTAAATAACTCTTTGATAAGGTTTCCAGGACAGGCACCATCTTCCATTTAACATTAGCCAGAGGCCTGCATGGGGTGAGCTCAGAATCAGCAAACACCTAACTTCACAAAAAACAAATAGCTTTCCTTTATAGAATGCGACAAATTTAAATAATTTTGAATATTTTTCGAATAATTAATCAGACGTTGTCACTTTGCTGGACCGCAGACTTGAAAGAACAATTACACGTTTTTTTAACAACAATATAAAGAACACTCTGTTCTTGTATTTGATCACACACACTTTTACCCAGGCCTAAGTTTAGGAACCTCTCCTCAGGGAAAAAGAGTGAGTTTATGGGGAATGATGTCTTGGCACAAAACGCTCAATTTCGTGTCTGTGGCACTGGATCAGAAGACTTTGGATTGATTTTGATGTGCATTTCCAGAGGCATGCCATTCCACACAGTAAGTTTAGTTTTGATAAATGGAAATGTCTAAGATCAACACAACTATGGTGCCAGAAACTGATGTCATCGAGAAACATGAGGCTCAGAGGAGAAAACAAACTAAACAAGACAGCAAGGGAAAAACATTTTCTTGACCACTGCTTGACCAGCTTTTTAATGGACTTAATAACTCACGAATGTCTCTCTAAACTGTGGTTTAGTCGACTACAATACTAATACAAACAAAAAGGAGAATTATTATAAATGTTCATTTATTATCCAGCTTTCGGTGGTAAAGGAGGTAGGTTTCATTTTTATCATGTTCATGAGAAATTTGCTGCTGAAATCAAATGCTTAAATGTGAAGAAATGTGAAGCATCAGGCTATCGACAATAAAGCTCACTTTTTTCTTCTCCAGTAAAACATTAAAGAATAATTTTAGATGAAATCATGGTCCTGGGTGATTTCACAAATCAAGAGCTACTTTGAACTTACACACACTCTAAACTAAGGCTAAACTAAATCAATAATCCTGTTACTCTTGAGAGATTGAAGGCTTATGAAGTGAAACGATTGGTCTGCGCAAGAAACTGAACAAAATTTACAACATTCTTTCCAATAATTCACAGCCTCAGATGGTCCTGACTGCGTTTATGGCAAGTTTGTCTCATATTTCCGGACACAAACTCATTTGGGCTGATGCTGTTCTACAATGTTCAGGTTCTTTCACAGACCAGTGTATTGCCATGAGCCACAATTTTGTTTTCACAATTGTGTGTGTGTGTATGTGTGTGTTTTGTTCTTGTCTCTGATTGAGTTGACTTTTAATGCATCAAGCACCACGATTTCCACTAAAAACCTTTAATGTTCTGTTAAAGAACACGTAACACAATTGATGGCCTGAAGGTGAGTGATATAATAGCAAATGTTCATTTTTTGAGAGATTTGACCAAAAAAAAAAAGATCGCTTTGTCATTATTTCTTAATCCTCCGGTTTAAGTAGTAAACACACAGATGTTTTAGTACAGCACTAGGGCAAGTATCTAATGGCACATTTTTAAATTTGCAGATGAACTATTCCTTTAAAAGTCTATGGAATAATAATGTAAAAAATCATTTCTTCTGGAAAAATCCCATGATGGATGGCTGTTTTGTAGGTTTGCTTGCGGCAGAGGTCTTCTTCTGACCCTTTTCTTTTTTCTCTTCTTCCTTTTTTCCAAATGACTGCTTGAGTAAGCTTGAGTCCTTGGCTTGACTGGTGGGTTCAGGCTCCTCTTCACTCTCAGAGTAAGACTCGCTCACATAACCTTTCTCAGTTACTAGAAAAATAGAAACAGGTTATTTAATGTCACAGAGACATTGTCAAGAAGCATGTGGTGTATATAAGTGTCTGGTTTAGAGCCATAGACATGGGCACTTAGATTTCCATTGTTTTTATTTCATTTTTTTTTTCTCTCCCCACAGAGATTTAACAAAGCTGCCATACGTTTTGGTCAAAAGAAAGCTCCTCAGGCAGCACCATTATTATTAATTATTATTCAGCCTTCACATGGTGCTTATTATGTCCTTAACTACTACTTTAGAACAGCACACGTTTCTGGCTACAGTACAAGTCTTTGTGTGATCAATCATGGATGCAATAAACAATTAAAAACGTATGAAATGAATCTGGGAACCAAACAATAGAAAAAATAACCACTTGAAAGAGTTGTTGTGCTGAAGAGACAACTGGCATTAAGGAATGTGTAATAATAGACACTCCTCTAAGTACAAAAATAATGCTAATGGATTGAAGTTATAGGAATCGAACACAAACATCTGTGCTTTTAGTATTCATATCTAAAGATTTCCTCCACATGTACGTCAAGTCAAAAATAATTTCGAAAAAACAATTTCAGCACAAATGGTTTGCCAGCGGTCTATATTTCTGTCATATAACTTATGATTTACTCAATGATTCAAGTGTTCCTGTCGGCACTTATAAATGATGTGCTTGTAAAAGTAAGGAGAGGGTTCAGTCACTGCTACATGCATTACTGTTTAAAGATTTCCAGTTTAGGTAGATAAGAAAAGACAAGCATTACCACAGAAAAATTTTAATTTGCTTTGCAATCTTTACTGGGCAGGTACAATTCAACTGCAAGCCCTTTAATGTAACCAGTTATTTTGTAATAACTTAGTTTACCAGTTAAACCAGTATCATTTGTTTTACAAGACAACATTAGTACTTACAGTACATTTCTAACATCATTCTTACTAAACATCAGGGCTAGTAGGTTTTTTTTTAATTATCAGCATTGGCCAGTACAATTTTTCCGTTTAGAGAAGCTTTGAAGGCAGCAATTTTATGTCTTATGCGACAATTTTAGCTTATGCTGTGATGCTATATTTTGGTTGTCAGTCTCATATGTCATTACCATTACCTGGTCTTCACTGTAGACTCAGAATGCAGATACCAAATGACTGAGTTGTTGGTTACAGTGTTTACTTACTTCAACCACTTGTGAAAAGTACTATGATAGGATTAAGAATTCAAAAAGTTGCTAAGACTATTTTACACATTAATTTTTATAATGATAATTATATTTATTTAAAATGATATAATATTTCATTATTTATCTCTAATTTTGTAACCTTTCAAATTAAATTAGTTTAATAGCAGTAAATATTACACATGTTATGTGAATCAAAGTGTAATAGGTAATGTGTATTTATATAGCACCTTTATTGTGTATGGTATTGTGTAGACCTATTGCGCTTCACAGTCATGGGGGGTCATAGTCAATCCACCATCAGTGTGCAGCATCTACTTGGATGATGGGACGGCAGCTATAGGACAACTGCGCCAGTCCACTCACCACACACTAGCAACTGGTGGACTGGATAGACAGTGATACAGCCAATTCTGTGGATGGGGATGATTGGGAGGCCATGATCGATAAGGAATAGGATAGAGGGAATTTGGGCAGGAACCCGGAGTTACACCTCTACTCTTTACGAAAAGTATGAGATTTTTAATGACCACAGAGAGTTCAACGTCTCATCCGAAAGATGGCGCTCACTGATAGTATAGTGTCCCAAATCTATTGTTCCAACAAGCATTCGCTAACTGCATCGCAAACTTGTATTCTTGCAACTACACCTCTGGAGCTGTAGTTAAAAACATAGTTCCTGGCTGTGTTCTATTTCCAGTTATCCCCCTATGCCCTACAATTAAACTTGGAATGAAAAAAAAAATCTCAAGTCATCTCTTTTAGGTGTAATTTGTATTTAAAGTATTTTTACAGTTCAGTTTACAGCTTAGCAATTTTAATGTTTACAATTGCATTTCCTTCGTAATGCACTTTGAAAACATTGGTATAGTTTTGAACACAGCCGTGGCTCATGATGAAAGCTATAGGTGACTCGATAATTTAAAGCGGAATTTACATACGTCTCCAAAGCTTGTGAAAACAAAAATATATAGCATACGTTAATGCTTTTATTTATAGTAGGCTATTTATCAAGGATCTATACTGTATGACATGGGCCTGCTGGTTAAAACATTTCTGCAGAGGTTTGCATGTGTCAAATTGTAAAAGTAGACTTAAAAAAAACAAAAAATAAATAAAACAACAAAAAAAAAATCCAACTTAATAATATTATAAATAATTATCATCATCATCTTCATAATCATTATCAATATTATTATTAAAGTAGTTTTTTTCTAATAAATATTAAATTTAATTTCCAAATAAATAGCCTCATTATTTATTTATATGATTTATATATAATATCAGAATACGTGTTAGCTTTTGTAAATGATTTTTGTTTTAGAATAGAACATGGAATATTCTCAAAAATATTTGTAAAGGAAACATGGGCTCTATATGTGCCATTTACATACATTTCAATTAATACATAAGGCGAGTGCATGTTTTTACCAAAACCAATGTTGGATTTTTTTTTTAAGTGTGTGCGTGTAAAACAATATAATTTTGCACAAAGAAATTATGGGGTTCTTTTTTTAAGAAGTGGTTGCTACCCTGTTTAGAGCATCATTATGGGCATTTTACGTTATAACTAAAGTTGTTCAAATGACAGATTTGTGACAGAGAAACTACGGTTTTGGGGAAAACTTCATCACTACATTATCCAAACGATGCACCGTACTATGAAAGTTCAGCCGCGAGTTATGTCACTGTTAAGAAAACGCACCCCAGGTAATAACTAGGCTCAGCCCTGCTTAGCTTTGAGTAACCTGTCTTGGGCTGCAGGGTGATGTATCGGCCATGCTGCTAGGCATCAGGTTATAGATGCATACAGAAATACAGTAGTACAACCAAGATAATGGCCAATAAAATTAAACTTACCAAAGCAACCTTCTTCATCAACAAATGTGTGAGACTTCAATACACGTCTTCTTTTCCTCCTCTTCACCACTGAGCCATCCTAAATGAATGAAGAACATTAAGAAATTATAACTTTACTGTATGACAAATACACGCAAGATATTTATAAAAATCAATGTTTTGTAATTCTTATTCCCTAAAAGTTAGCAAATACTATTGGCGCTGGTGCTCACTTCTTGGTGTGAAACAGTCTCTTTTTTCACTTGCTTTTTGGGACTGGGAGTCTGTATGTTTGGCACAGGTGGAGAATCTGGCACAACTGGAAGACAGAAGGAAGAAGAGACATTTATCACGCATGTCTGTGTATGTATAAATAGAAGAAAAGAGAGCAAGAGAGGGGGGGAAAAACAGTGAATGTTATCAATTAGCCTTTGTTTGTCAGAGAGCAATTCTGATATTTTATTCAACACTCTGCCCAGAGGGAGAACCTATTTCTTTGTTTTTATTCATTTTGGGTCACAGAGCACCTCATCTGGATTGATTCAAATCTGCCAAGCATGACTTGAGTCTTTTTTCCCCTTGTTTTCCCCCACCATCTCTTTCCTACCCTCATCATCACTGCTGTCTGGCTGGGGCTTCTTTATCCGCCGTCTCTTCTTCTGTTGGCTCTCTACTGGCTCATCATCGCTATCCACAACCTCAGGACGTTTTGTTTTACTGTGAAAAACAAATTGCTTTTGATTACAATCCTCATCTATTAAAGCTTCATCAGCAAGTTGTTGGCTTGTTTTATCCAGCTGAGCTTTATCACCTACAGTACTTCACAAATACAAAAAACAACTTTTTTTAAACATTAAACATTTTAAATTAATGCCATCAATACCACAGAATTATGTGTTTATTCATACCATAATTAAAAAACCAAATGAATTAAATTCTAAAATAATTTAAGCTGTATATATACACGGTGCAGTTCAAAATTAGAAAACAACCAAATAATTACAAGGTCATAGCTAAGTCTTATTTTAAGTTATTCTATCTGGAGTTTGATTTCAAAAATGTAAAAAGCAGTTCCTTGGAGCTAAAAACAATTAAATAATGAAATGGCAGTCCAGAATCCTGATGTAAACTGGATTGAAAATCCAGGAGCTTCTGGTAAGCAAGTGAGCGCCGCCTTGTGGTAGCATCACAGAGACGCTAGAAGTCATTTTACAAAATCTTTTCATTCAATGTTCCACATTAGTGGAATGATCTTCCCATTCCAACACGGACTGTTGATTCACTGGTATCATAGAAATGAAAACTAAAAACCCATCTCCTTCACAACGAACCAAGGTGAACAAAACCAGGAACTCCTCTCGTCCCCCAAAACACCATATGATAACCTCAAAACATTATACTATTCTGAGTGTGCCTCACACGAGTGAGTGGGCTTGACAAAACACCTGTAAAAAACATTCTTTCATCAGTCATTTGCACCAGACACTGTCTTTCTTCAAACATTTCATTAAAAAATTCAATAAAATTTATGAAGTGTGCTTCACACAGGTGAGTGGGCTTGACACACAGCCTGTAGAAACAGTCTTATCTTGCTCCCACTCAGTCTCTAAAAATACAAACGAACAAAACATGCACCCTTCTAACTCTAGTACTTAATGCTCCAAGCAGTAGTGGTGTAATGAATCACAAATCTCACAGTTCAGATCACATTATGGTTTTTTTTAGTCACAGATCGGACCATTTTTCAAATCAGACAAAAGGGGGAGGAGGCGAATGTCATTTGTTTTCCATTTATTACAAAAACAGCAGAATTACAGAAACTTTTAGCTTCATATAATAAAATGAAGAAACAAATATTCAGTACTGTGAAAAATTCACTGTTACTACAACTGTTTCTGATAACGCTAAATGTAGAAATCTAACCTTATAATTTGTACAACCCATATTTATTTTTAGTCTCATTTCAATAAATGATTCAGTTACACACTCATAAGATGGGATTAAATAATGTAATTGCTGCCAATAACTTTCATTTTTGAAAATCAGGGACCACGGGATTTCATTTCTGTTCTAGAAAAAGGTGGTTTGCCATCTCCAGGTTGGAGGAAAGTCCTTACCCCAGGTGGAGGAGTTAAAAGTATCTTGGGGTTTTGTTCACGAGTGAGGAAAGGATGGACAGGCAGACCGGTGCAGCGGCAGCAGTAATGCGGTCAATGTACTGGTCCGTTATGGTAAGAAAACGAGCTGAGCCGAAAGGCAAAGCTCTCAATTTACCAGTCAAGTACGTTTCTACTCTCACCTATGGTCATGAGCTTTGAGTCATGACCGAAAGGACAAAATCTCGGATACAAGTGGCTGAAACTAGATTTCTTCACAGGGTGGCAGGGTGCACACTTATGAGGAGCTCTGTCACCCGGGAGGAGCTCGGAGTAGAGCCACTGCTCCTCCACATCGAGAGAAGTCAGCTGAGGTGGCTCGGGCATCTGTTTCAGATCTCTCCAGGACGCCTACCTAGGGAGGTGTTCCAGGCATGTCCCACCAGGGGGAGGCCTCGAGGAAGACCCGGCTTCGAATACGTGGATGAAAATGACATGACATGATGAAAACTTTCATTTCTGAGCACATGATGGTGATTTTCATTTTTACCATAAACATCAGTGTTTTTATCTAAACTATAAACTGTTATTCCAGTGCTTCAGTGTTATTTGACTGTTTGAAGCTTCATAACTCAAGACTAAAAACTGAATCTTTTTCTTGATTTTAGCATTTTCACATCTGAATGCAGCAATTAGAATGATTAATAAACATGCAAATCACCATCATTTATAATTTATGTTGCGTAGGTGTTAAGATCCCGATCTTTTAATGATCAATCGTGCAGCTTACGCTGAATGCATTATTGCAGGCTAAACAGGTAGTGGCAGAAAACACCTTTAACCCAAGTAAAGCACCACATCCCGAATAACCTACCACACCTTCTTCCGTCATCATTATATTTTACAGGAAATCCTAAATGCTTTCAATAACGTAAGAGGCGATCCTTCTATGATCATTATAAATTCAGGATTAATTCAACAGTAAAAAATGTATCAATCCGCTGGTCGCCTGTGTTCCGACCCGTGGGTTGTGATCCGTATGAATCACTGATCACCCGTGATCCGTTACACCCATAGCAAGCACAAACAATTCCTTTGTATAATTAGCAATTCTCTGTGTATTGCTGCTTCTTGTTTAATAGCAGAATGTCTCCTTCATTTGTAAGTTGCTTTGGACAAAAGTGTCTGCTAAATGACTGAATGCAATTGTAAAATGTCTGGAAAATCCTCGCAAAAAAAGTAATTGCTAAAAAGCCCATATTGCCAGTAAACTGTGGAAGAAATTGAAGAACAGCTAATAAAGATTGCAGAAGAGCAGTGTGAGATACTAGTGAGTTCTTGCAAGCATAGATGGGAGTTACGAAGTACAAATACTTTGTTACTGTACTTAAGTAGATTTTTCTGGTATTAGTACTTTACTCCAATACTTATTTTTTGACAACTTTTTACTTTTACTCCACACATTTTTACACAAACATCTGTACTTTCTACTCCTTACATTTTTAAAACCGCGGTCGTTACTTTCAGTTTCATGTGTTTGATTGCGTGATCTATATTATTTCTTGTCATTGCACAATATGAACACAGATTTAAAGCAGTCAGTCTATTTTTCCACATGCACTGTATTCACATTGCACTGTGCGGCCTTTTCAAGGCAATCACACACTGTACATTGGCTAGTTTATGAAGATTACTATGAGAAAGGTTAGGATGACTGCGCAGATGTGACAGAGGAAGACGGCGAATGACTGATAACATGACTGATGCTGCCCTGTTTACAACGTAATGAGACACCTTTTGCTTGTTCGGATCACAGGTAGACAAGAGATACACATTCCAGTTCAAAAACATGCCGTTTTTCCACTTCTGATCATACTACACGGGCTTTCTCTGGTCTTTCAATCTAATACAGCAAAAAAAGTGCTTTTTGTAAAGATTTGTGCATTTAGTACTAAAACAATAAAATACTTTATAAACAAATTATGCATTGTATTGTATGCAGTTTATTTCCTTTATTTCTAATAAGTTCATATTTCCTAATACAGAATTTATGATGTTTTTCAGTTTTTATTTATTTTTAATTTTAGTGCTAGTGTTGTTCTCAATTAATATTTAAAAATATATATTTTTCAACAAGTGTAAGTATACTGGGTAATTTATGAATAAAAATATAATTCCAGCATATGTTTTACACAGCAGATACCTTTTCATCTGCAATCAGCACTAGGAAACACCCATACACACACACACACACACACACACACACACACACACACACACACACACACACACACACACACACACACACACACACACACACACACACACACACACTAAAGCAGGTCGCACACCAGAATCGCTGCTCGGTGCTGCGACACAGTTTAAAGTATCACACACCAGACGCGCACATTCGAATGATATTTAACATGAAACTAATCAGATGGCGCTCTGTGGCGCGGCTGAAAAATGAACTGCGTCCTGAGCCGTGGACGGGCGCCGCCGACAGCCGCCGACAGCCGTCGACTTGCGGCGCCGGTATGTGTATCCTGATAGAAACCTATGTTTAGAATTCTAAAATGCATGGCGCCGAGCGGCGCTTCTGGTGTGCGACCTGCTTTACACACTGCCAGTTTAGTTGAATTATTATTCACCTTTACCGCATGTCTTTGGGACTGTGGTTGAAACGGGTACTAACTTTTTTTTACATTTGTGCATTTTTGAGGCATTATTGAGGCTTTACTTTTACTTGGGTACAAAAGTGTAGTCAGTACTTCAACTTTTACCAGAGTCATTTTAAACATAAGTATCTGTACTTCTACTAGGATGTGTGTACTTTTGCCATCTTTGCCTGCAAGAGATGTCGTCATGTATTTTCCACAAAATATAAACTTTTTTTAATAATTTCGTTAAACACTGTTCTACTAGCATGGTATAGCCACAACTAAAAGTCCCCCCAATACAGGGTTTCTATTTTTTTTTCTCCTATATACTTTTCAAAAAAAAAAAAAAGAGGTAAAACTTACTTTCGAGTGTCTTTTGTTTCACTCTTCAAAGCTCTGGAAGTTTTGGATTGTTCCTCTTTAACTTCACCATCAGATTTAGGAGACACCTGTGACTGTTTTATATTTCCAGAAGCCGATGCTGTCGAACCTCCGTCAGTCTCTTCCTTGATGCTTTTCTTGGGTTTTTCTTCTACCTTTTCTAAATTTCACAGAAAGAAATGTTTTATGACTATATGCCATGCCTTGTGTTACTTTATTGGCAACGAAACACACAAAAACACTCACTTTGGGCAGACTTCCCAAAGAAGTTACTCACGGGGTTTGCTTTGGAAGCTGGTTTGGTTTTTGATGTTTCAACCTACAACATATGCGACTATTATAAATTTCACACACAATCCTGTGTGTCATTAACATTAAAGTATTGAGTTACACACTTACCGAGGAAGAATCATCTTTCTGCTCTGTTTTCACTTCCTTGCTGGATTCCTGGACCTTGGAAGCACTTTTGCTTGCAAACATACCCATGATGCCCGCTGGCGGCTTAGCACTGGGTTTGGAGGTAGCAGCAGGTTCATTCAAGCCAGGTTTACGGTTTTCTTTCTCTGCCGAAGGAACCAATGCCATCTCTTGAGCTCTTTGCAGCTCAGCTGATGACATGGGTACCGCCGCAGCACACCGTATAGCACTGTATCTGAGAAAAGAGCAGAAGGATTTCTCGGATGATGTATGCACATGCCGCATTACAGCTTATAGAAATATCACTTACTTGCTGCAGTTCTTTAGATTATCCTTTACAGCATCGTAATCTGTGGTGTAAAGTGGAGAACTATCCTTCAGCTCTGCTCTTTGCACACTGTACACATGTACACTGATAGTCATCTCCATCTTTGCTTTAACAGCTGCAAAAATAAATAAATACATGAATGCATTTCTGTAATAAAATTATTTTTTTTAACACAAATGAAAATCATGTGAAATATTACTCTTGCAGCTTGAAACTTACCTCACAGCAGTGTTATTCAGATATCACAGAATAACTGGTAGTTTTTTAAAATAGACTTTTAATAATTAGTTCAGGTTTAGATTTCCTGTTTTCAGTTTTTTTTTTAACTATGGTTTTGGCATCTGCATTATTTTATGTCTTTAATTTTAGTGCATATTTATTTAGCCTTTACTTAAATTAAATTTAAATAAAATAATTGAAAAACAGACAAACTAAATTTACACTACACATTTTATATTTTTCAATAAACATTTATTGATGTAAGCATCGACTTACTTAGACATTTTTTAGAATTTAATTTAAATAAAACACTTTGATTGTTTAAAATTCACATGCAATCTAAAATATGAAATTATGTTTTTAGAATTTAGGACTTGTGGAGCGTTGCATCGATGGATTTGCTCTTCAGTGTTTGAACTTTCAGCAGTGAAAATTAAACCACACTAAAATGAACTCAACTGATCTTCACCCCTGAAAACTGGACTGACTTACAGTTTCAATTTACTAGAACTGCTTTATCAAGCTGCTTTGACACAATCTACATTGTAAAAGCTCTATAAAAAAAACAAACTTAATTAAATTTATGTTAACTTACAATTTAATAAACTGATGTTTTATTATTGATAAACTTTATTATTTGTCATTTTCACAAACACATATATAACATTATTTATTTATTTATTTATTTTTTACATTTTTTAAAAACAATTGTCAAACTTACCCTCCAGCTTTTCCTCACGAACTACAGACACTTTATGACACTAGGAAGAAATGGACAATTTTCAATGGCAGTTCTTACAATAATGACAGTGAAGAAAAAATGTATTTCATAACAATAAAGTTCTCAGTTCTTACCGGAGTCCCATTCTCAACACACTTGCCGGATACAAGATAAGTAGCATGAAGAGCTGTCCCTGAACTTTCATTACGTTTTTGCTCCAAGTAATGATACAACATCCTGCAAAAATGAGACACAAACACTAGTTGTTATGAAAGAGCATTAGTGACAAATAACTGAATACATTGAGAGGCATAAAGGGACTTGACTTACTGTTTTGCTGTGTTCACATGGACTCCAAGGGTTAAACTGAGCCATTTGTATGTGACCTGCAAATAACAAAATATAAAAGCAGAATTCCAAATTATATAGCTAACGATGTATTATATTTATATCCATGCTGTGTTTGTGCAGTGACGCTTCTGAACACGTTAATGCTAGTATGAGTAACAAAAACATCAACGTTAGTAGTATTTGTCAACGTATAATGCTATGTTATACTCTAGATGTGGTTTAATTATTACTTAATAAAGTGTCACTGTTTTAACAATCAGTCATGAAAACCATTCAGTTAATCTAACTTGTCTTGTTTTTCCATCCTGGACACTCCAGTAAACATGCACGAAGCCACATATGCATTTTGGCATCCCATGTTTCACATTTACTAACGACACATGTAATATAAGATAAAAGGACTTACGATCTTATTTTGATCATTCACAAATTCGTCGATATTGTCTAAATACAGATCATCCATGTCAGGAATGACGGGCTTCTGCTCCACATTGAAAGAGTCGCAAACGCGGGAACTGCAGAACTATATTTACTTCCGGTCATGTGGACTATAGCGTCAGCCAAGAAAAGTGCTCTACGCATGTTCAGTGTTTTATCGTGTTTTGCAAACCCGTGTTTTTACCATAGCCTTTTAATAAGAATACGTTTGTTCAGATTCTTCTCCGTGTTAGTTTAAATGTACTGAAATCATATGATATTCACGAGGTCATCGTAGCAAACACTGTATGTTGGATAAACTACTGAGGTAACTTACCAACAAATAACTGACATTTCAAGATGTATTCAGTATACTACTATAGTTTTTTTTTAAATTATTCAATATTAAGTCATTAGTTAATTAAGATATATATGTAATTATGATATATATATATATATGTTCATCCATTTTTAAATTTACACAATAACTGTTGTAACTCTTAATTTATGGTTTATTATTATACAAAAGAGTAATAGCTACAGTTTATTTTCATACAACAGAAATGCATACACCAAAAAAATTCAATTAATTCAAGAGTTTATTAAAGACATAAAAATATCTTTATGGACTATTGTGCAATACCCACATGATAATGAATTTGATTGAAAAACAAAGAAAAACTTTGCAACAATCATTCAGCCCATTATATTTGATTAATTTATCAGAATTTTTTTTGACATTCAAAGTTTGATACAGTACAAGAACAATATTATGACATTTTCTTTAGCTGAAGTTATTCTGAAGTAGACATTTTAATTGCAAGGATCCTTGTACACCGAATGCATACATTTAAAATGTCTACAGGAATATCCTGTTTTTAATACAATTGTATTTCAACATAATCTGTTACATATATGCAGTATTCTTCCCAACTTTTTACCTCAGTTTCTTAAATCAGTGGTGTTACTTGTGCTTGTATGCTTTACCGATGTTGGTTAAGTATTCTTTTCATTGTTGGTTTCACTTCAAGATGACAAACACATTTATTTTACATATCTTCCAGGTCTTAATATACACATGGTGTCTTTGAGGACAGGGTAACAAAGACTCGGATTCACACTTTCACAGAGAGGTAAACAAGAGCTGATTAGTTTTATTATTCCAGCAAACAGTTAAAAACAATGTTTCAATGTTTTGTCATGAACTGTGCAGTTCCCCATTAACTAGAAGCTTTGAAATCCTCTACTAGCTGAAGCTATTAGAGGACAATGAGTTATACAGACAGTAGTTTAAATGTTAATCAATAAGTAATTTCTGTCCCATTTATCCATGTACATTATCCCAAATCTATGGTGAGTTAATTAATACTTGGAAAACTGGAGCTCCTGATCTATCATTTTCAGTTCTCAAAGAAAATGTGATACACAGCATCTGAAAAGAAAAAATACATATAAGTTTATTTTTAAAATAGGTTCTAAACAATGTTTATATAATTATAAGTATATTGGTATCAACTGTAACTTACAAGAATCCTTTGCCACAGCCTAATGGTCCGAAGTAAAGTTCAGAAGGCAAACACACTCCTTGTCTGCAAACACCACTGAGACTTGCACAGCTCCAGGGAAAGGATGCAGCCTCATTCTCTTTACCTTAAATACAAATGACACATTTTAACATTGAAAGATCTATACCAAAATCAGCCAAAAGTGACTTCTAGGCAAATATACTGAAGGATTATTCATTTGTCTTGCTGTTCTGTTACTCAAAGCTTTCCCAAAAATGTAGTTTTAGGCTTTCATGCGTCTTAAATGAAAAGTTAATCCATTAACACAGTTCTAACACACTTATATCCCCAAAAGCAAACATACGAAACTTACAGTGCAATGCTAGTACGACAAGGACAAGCAGGATAAATATGCTCTGGGGCTTCATGTTGGATTCTTCAGATGATGGCAGTCCTGGGACGTTTGTGTTGTATTGTGATGAAGCTCTGTCTTATTTTTTAAGTGACTCTAGAAGGAGGAGTGACTAAATGGAGACCGCTCCAATCAGGTTTTTACTTAAAAATTGAATTATGTAGCAGAATGAATGGAGATACTGTCCTTAATCCTATTTGGTTTAACATACCAAAATGCCAAGTAGCATTCACACTATCACATGTTTGAGGCTGCAGCAAATTATCAATGTTAAAAAAGAAATCATCACCTGATCTGAAACACATGCTTATCCTGGTGGATATAATCTTAAAGTGTCCTAATAAACCTGGGGATCCTCACATTGCTTAGACGCTGTTTGTGTATATGTGTGTGTAGTGTACACAAATGTATAACATATATAGCAAAATTATAATAGTCATAATGTGTAGGAGTTTTGAATATGATGTTTTATACCAAAATACCAAATCACCTTCTGAAAAACACATTTTTTTAACGTTTGAGCTTTGACCCAACCTTATAGTTATTGTCCTTTTTGCACAACAATGAACTGACCCTGTTTACCCCTATAGAGCGCATATAACAAATGTATTAAAACTATTTTTAAAAATATATTTATATCGTCACTTTAGAATTATAAAGTTCTATCTGACATTTTTGACAAAATGTATATTCTTATTAAACAAAAACTTTACATTATGTGATTTTTTTTATAATTTGCTTACATTTTAACACTTTTTATTTAAAAAAAACAAAAAAAGTTTTAACTATAAAGTCAGCATTCATACAACTTTTTCGTATAGTAAAAAAAGTCAGTCATATTTAATTGAACAATAAATTCAGCATACAATCAGAATTTTGAATGTACGCACGAGGACCAATCAGGATCATCTTTCTTTGTCATTTCACGGACTGCTCCATTGACAGAAAGAAACACAAAATCAGAGTCGACTATATAGTGCTTCACCACTGAAGAGATGTGTTTAAATATGATGATTAAGAAGTATTTTTTGACATTAAGATGAAATGCTCAATTTTATATTGTTGAAAAAGAAACAGTTATTAAAAATGCAATGTATTAAATGTATAATATTTATTTGTGTATATATAGTCAGTGAAACCTTTTTCTGTGTTAAACAGATCATTCAAGCTCATTTGCTCTGTTTTCTTTTTTTAAGCCCTGAAGGGCAAGTACTTAATTTAAATAATGGGGCATATAATTCAGTAAATACAATTTCTATGAAGCATATAATGAAATAAATATGACCATATTAATTACATAAAATTAACATCTGCACTAGACAAAATATTTAGCACAGCCTTGTATGCTTAATTTGAACAAGAATAAAATATCCATCCTGAAACATTAAATACATGTTGTAGAAAACAGAAATTTTACTTTCTCAAACATCAACATATTGTTACATCACCAATTTAGTTTTTTTAATAAATTAATAAACAGACTGTTTGTATTTCATCAAAAAATTAATGCTTCAGTTTTTGATCTGCCAGATAAAACTTTATGATTCCAAGCAGAAAATTACTTTTTAGAATTAGACGGCAGTTTACAAGTTTGCAAGTTTATGTAGAATTTTAATAATGTACATGTATAGTACATTTATGGTCTCTGTCATGTTAATGTATGAAAGAGAACTGTTACACACAATTTGTTTGCTATATAGAATGCAAAACCTTTGAAGCTCAATATCTCAAAAATAATTTAGAACACAATAAAACCAGATAATTCCAGGCAACGATATTTTAACTAGTCATATTGGTATTCGTATGTAATAATGTACTAATGGCAAACTGAAATGAAGAAACTAAACATTAGCACTGAATTAGCTATATTGTGCAGAAATTATTAATTATGTATTGTAAATAGAAAAAAACTAATCAGATCGTTTGGAGTTTCACCCTTCACACAGTTAAATAAGAGAACTTTATTAACAGTCAAATTTTCTCATTGATTCTTCCCATACATCTTTGTGTCAAAAATATTTTTTTTTACAAGCACTGCATGTCATATTAAGGCATGACATTGGAGCATTATGTTTTTACACTAAAACATTTTCAGATTCAGTAATAATGGATAGACATCAGCAAATAATAATAGTGGAGGGACTACATGGTATTCATATCTTAAATGTTTTGCTTACTATCATTGGTGGCATGTGGGTATTAACCAGATGATGGCACCAAAGTTGTACTTTAATGCTTTTGGTAGTTTCTCCATTATCTGCTCATTAAATCCTATACAGACAACCATTGTTATAAAGCATGAGATATGGGACTGTTTTTTTTTTGTAAATCAGATTTTGTAAAAAAGCAAAAAAGGTGACAGAAATGGCAGAAGCACTTATATAAATCGTTGTATATATCTCGTAAAAAACAGTACAGCTTCAATAATATATTATTCTTATATATTCTGTATATAGTTACTGTGATACAGAACTTCAGAATAAAGCTTAAATGATATGTCACAGTGATACATGCTGAGAAAAAGTCAGTCAGTGTTAAATCAAACAATGAATCCTACAAAGTACTAATACTTAAATGATGGAAAATATACAATATTTTTGCTCTGATTGGACTTAATTTTATACCATATATTACAGGATTGACAATTGGGGGAAGAGTCAGAAATATCACAGACAAAAACATATGTACAAAATGAGATACATATTGTGATTTTGCTCTTAATTCTGTCTGGGAAGAGTCGAAAAAAGAACAGCCTATGTAGTTCAGGAAGATAATCAAGTGTGGCATACATGTGCTGTAGAACTTCTCTCGACTTACTTTAGATTTTCTACAAGCAAGAATTATTTTAAAATAGGAAATCAGAACAAAGCCAATTAAGATGATTACTGAGCCATACATCCATCCATTAAATATCCCATATGAAATATCTGGTTTGCATCCAAGATTTACCAAGGACAGGTTTTCACAGAAAAGTTTATCTATATCATATTTGCAAATAGGATTTTTCATAGCTACTACAATGGCCACTAAACTTGCAATAAAAGGAAACACCCAATTAAAAGACAGCAGGCACAGCACAGTGAAAGGTGACATAATACTATGATAATGTAATGGTCGACATATGGCTAAGTATCTATCAATGGCCATGACACTTAAATTTGAGAATTCACCAACTGCATAGATGACAATGACAAGACCCTGAACAATACATTCCTCAAGTGAAATCCTGTTTGTTTCTGTAAGTAAATATACTAGAGCCTTGGGATAAAACCCAGTGATTCCACACAAATCATTGACACACAGATTACACAAGAAAATGTACATGGGCTCATGCAGAGCTTTCTCAAAAGCAATAATCAGAATCAAAGTGGCATTCATAACAATAGTTATAAGGTATCCAGGAAGCGCAAAAGAAAAAAATAAGATCCTGCTGGTCCAGTCCCAGTCATTCAGAGCCGTGACAGTGAGAATGTGGGAAGTGGAGATATTTTCCATTCCTTCTCCAAATGCTTTCAGATCAAACCAGGCTGACTCAAATAATCTGTTTCGCTTGTGTTCAGTTTTGTGTTATACTGTACTGTTGGAAGATTTAATGAAGTATAGGCAGAATATAGTAAAATATTTAAAATGACAAAAGCAACAAACTGTCTTGTCTTGAAAGGCTTTGAGGTTTGGAAAAGGCCTCTGAACAGCTCTTTTAGAGATCCACCCTTCGCTCTGTTCACAGCTGAATGAGAGAACTTTATATACAGTCAGATATGCAAAACATCACAATGATATAATAGTCCTTTGATAATTTAGGAATAATTATGCAATGTAAAAATAACCATGACATGTTCTATTGGAACATGATTTTATTCTTTTGCAATATCATAACACTTGCAGTTTTTGTAATTATTTGTGAAGTGTTGCAGTTTATAAGTGAACATTTTTCAAAAATAAATGCTACTCTTTCAGTATAATAGTTATTGAGAAGCTTAATGCAGAAATCTCATCAGTTGAGTATTTGCTGAAAACAGTGATATTCAAGTATTGATACAATGGCCTATATTCATTGTATGTGAAGTACACCAGCTGATTTTTAAGTATTGCTATGTTTTAATGCAAAATCACATTTTTACTTTTAGTTTGATCGAGTTTATACTGAAACCTTACATAATAAGAATAAAGGATCAACTAAAATAATATTTAACTTTGGACGTGTCACATTTCCTTTTCTTGTCTGCTTAATATTTAAAATAGATTGTCTTATCATCATAATACAAATAATAACCACAATATTAAGCTGGTTTTGTTTTGGCAAGAGGCAATTGAATTGAGCTAGTTAAAAATGCAAACACATGAGTAAGGAAATCGCCTTGCCAATAATCTAATAAAATCATAGTTGTATTATAGGTTTCTTCCAGAAGATGGCATCATGATGGCATTGCTTTAATATTCCCTTTCTATGGTGTTGTCATAGAAAAAAGTATATACTACACAAGACGTTTGTTTCTACATTAAAATGTGTGCAGAAATATTCAGAAAGACCACAGCTTGTGTTCAGAAAGGTAATCAAGTGTGGCATACATGTGCTGTAGAACTTCTCTCAACTTACTTTAGATTTTCTACAAGCTAGAATTATTTTTAAATATAGGAAAACAGAACAAAAACTAAAAGGACACTCATGCTAATGTAAAGAAACCCATTAAATATCCCTTTAAAAAGCTTGTTGCATGCAAGTTTCATCAAGGAAAGGTGTTCACAAAAAGGTTTGTTAATGTCATGTCTGCAAATAGGATACTTCAAAGTTAATGAGATTGCCATTAGACCAACAAAACAAGAAAATACCCAAATAAAATTCACCAGACTCAGCACTGTGAAAGGTGACATAATACTATGATAATGTAATGGTCTACATATGGCTATGTACCTATCAACAGCCATGACACTTAAACTTGTGAATTCACCAACTCCATAGACAATGATGACAAGATCTTGAACAATACATTTCTCATGTGAAATCACATTTCGTTCTGTAAGTAAATATGTCAAGGCTCTGAGATAAAACCCAACGATTCCACATAAATCATTGACACAAAGATGACACAAGAAAATGTACATGGGCTCATGAAGAGTTTTCTCAAATGCAATAATCATAATCAAGAGGTGCCAAATCATCAGCTGATAAGGAAGTGATGGGAGGTGGTGGATGCGGACAGAGTAGGGTATTAAACATTCAAAAAGTTTGTGGGTGTCTGAAGTGGTATTGATTTTGCTTTGGTAGTATAACGTTTTATCTAATCATGAAACATGAAGCTGGTTAACGTGATTATGACTTTGATTGGTGTGTGGGTTTCTCGTGATTCTGGGTAATTTTGTTCCAGATAAATGACACACTGGATCACAACCAAACTTTTTACAGATTCTTGGGCTGTGTCCATGCAGCAACGTATGTGTTTTTTTCATCTTTTGTGCTCTTTTCAAAAAATGTTTCCTTGAAAGCTGTGTCCAGCTGAAAATGAAAAAAAAAAATGGTTTGAAATGATGTAATATGTATCCAACATTATGTGGTGTTGTAAACAAACATAGACAGAGCTGCAGGATACATTATAATCAGTGAGCATGCGCAAGAAGTCTGTCTTTGGCACGCTGAGTGCAGATATAAACAGGACAATGTGTTGGATTTAAAAGTACTTGGTACTTGTAACTGTTAATGCATCTCTGCTAGTGATTTAGATAATACAGCATTACCAGGTTTATTGTAATAAACTTTAAAATAAATCTGCCAATGTTGCTATTACTGATTGTGCAAAAGGAAATTGAGTAATGGTAACTCTCATTTAGAGACTTTATTCTGAAATCGTGGCATATACCGAAACTGGAATAGGTGCTACTGAATATAGAGAGAACTGTTGTTGCATCAGCCATTGCCGACCACGGCTCATTGTCTGCAGTGGCACTGAAAATGTGAATCACTGCTATACTGAGTGTCTGAACTGGTTGTAATTGTGCTTCTGTGTGTGTTATAAAGAGAAACTACAACGTTTATAAGTGCAACTCATCGACTACAGGCTCATCTAATCAGGACATCACAAAATTAAAGCAAAAATAAATAAATAAAAAAAAAATTTATATATATATAAAAAATATGTATATATATAAAAAAAAAAAAAATATATATATATATATATATATATATATATATATATATATATATATTTATATATATATATATATATATATATATATATATATATATATATATATATTTTTATATATATACATATTTTTTATATATATATAAATTTTTTATTTATTTATTTATTTTTATTATGTAAGATAACGAAATCGTATCTGGAAATAGCAAAACTAGTATTGATCACCAGTAGTATTAATACCAGTAACAGAAACTAATGAGCATTTAACACAGTTATGCCACATTGACCCTATTTTTTTATTGTAGATAACTGAATACAAAAAACAAAGAGTACAGAACATCTGGAATAATGCAAAAACATGTAAACAAGGTACTTAAAAATAATTTTATTAAACAAGTTTTTTTCAGAGCTTTTGTATTCAAATAAAAACAACATCAAATATTAAAACAATAAAATAAGTTTTAAAATATGTGTCTTTTTTGTAGTTTTTTTTTTTTTTTTGCCATGGGTATATGATTATTAGTATTGGATCCCATTTAGGCGATAATCCATAAAAAATACAATCACAAGTTGTGTTACTGTATGACATATTTACAAAAATGTGATCAACAGATCTAATCTGCGATTCTGGTTAAATAAACTTTAACCCTAATTCAAATTCAAGTTTTATTTATATAGCACAAAATCATAAGCACCGTTTTTACTCTTTATATATGTATAAGTATTTGTGTGAGTGTGTGCATAAGTAGGTAAGAAACATATAAAACTGAAAGTAAAATATATCATCTGACCCATTTAAAAGTAAACCTTATTTAAAATATTTTTCAGTAAGTTGGCCAACATTTATGTGGGTACCACACTATCATGTCTTTAATTTGTGCTAATTTGTGAATGCTGTGTAAAAAGATGCTGACAGCCTCCTTCTTGTAAACCCAATGGAATAATCTAAGAAGGAGGGCAACTATAGTGGAAAGTTCTGCATTCAAGTTAGACCTGTGATGACCTCCATTATTCCACCGTCAGAGGCGCAGTGAGGGCGAATGCATATATGCTGGGGAAATAATGCAAAAGTGTAAATCGTGTTTATTAATCATGTACATTTTAATATTTACCATATGATTTTTAATATAACATAATACAAAATACGCAGCCACATTTGAAGACCCCTGGTTAGTGAACTGCTTACCATCTCACAAAAATAGATTGTACCCATTATAAGTTGAGCATGTGTGAACTTACATTTTACAAATGTTATTTGTTTTTCTTCTACAAGATGAATATTCCCCATATGTGAATAAAACAAGCCTTTCCTCATTGATGGCACAGAATATTTTGTACTCTCAAATGGTTCCAAACCTTTATGAGTTTCTTTCTTTTGTTGATCACAAAAGAAGATATTTTGAAGAAAGCTGAAAACCTGTAACCACTAACTTATAGTGGGAAAAACAGATACTATGAAAGTCAATGGTTATAGGTTTACAATATTAAAAAAGGAAATCAAAGAAAGTTTTTGAGTTTTACCTGCCTGCATTCTATAGAAATATTCTAGTAATTACTTGCCCTTGTATTTTTTGTAATCAAATAATACAATGTATAATTAATTCAAATTAGGGGAAAATAATAACAATCTACCTGATGAATGTGTTGAAGGTCTGAGGTTACTCTGTGAGCAAACATGAAGCACAGATGAGAGAGAGGCCTGTGGATAGAAAGCCTTCAGCTCCAGGTCAGCATCACTGCTGCAGATGCATCATCATATGACAATACATTATTAATTAGGTGAGCAAACAAAGTCAATGCGCTGTAACTATACAAGACATTTATAATATTAGCAAACTGATGGTACCAGTTGTCTTATCATAAGCTTACATTTTTACACGGTTTAAAAAAGCATATTTAATATGTTTAACGTTACAAGCTAGAGGCAGTGCTGTACTGTAGCCTACTCCAACGTAAACACATTGTGCTGCTTCAAATTACTCAAATAATCATGCTTACTGATTTGAGAGTTGACAAATAAAAAAGAAAATCGAGTTGTCTTACTGTGTATAGTTCTTGTTTTCATCGAATTATATCTCCGACTGATCCAGGAGCGTGTTTTTGTCGTTTTCGCGTCAGCTTTCGGTCTTATCGGATTCATCCCATTTCATGAACGCATATGAACCAACATAACAATGGGAAACTTTTGGACTTGCTATGCTGACAGGCTGGAGTTTGTGCAGTTCCATAAATGCAATAATATACCAGGATGAAAATAAATTACACCAAAACTAGCAACTGATTCTGCTATATGCTACTCCGGGTCTGCTTCACTTTAAACAGCGTGCGCCTATTAAAGAAGTCCCCAATTTGATGTAACCGGGGTGGTTAGAAAAAAAAAAGAATTTTCCGAAAGTGGGAAAAACAGATTTTCTTTAAAAATTTGTGCCCTTGTGCTTTGTAAAACATTTTAATATGATATTTTATGGAATTATATAGTATTTTCACAAATGATTCTACTTTTTTAAAATAGTTTTTTAACCTATATGCTCTTTATGAGGCTCTGCAGTGTATGTTAAAGCAAGCATCTGAGAGTTCTGCATGATGTCAATACACTTCCCAAGGATGAGCATCCGAAGGCAGAGAGCTGTCTTGTTAGCACTAGTTCAGAGATGCTTTATCTTTACAAGCCCACAAAACCCTCTCGAGTTCTGCTAAAAGTTGTCAGATTTCTCTTGCATAATAAAGACGAGACACTTAACACATATGCTATTCTAGATGATGGGTCCTTACCGCAGATGGCGGTACTGCCAAGTTACGGCAGATCATTTTTAGTCCTGATTCATGAAGTATTACCTACCATCCTTACTGTGCCGACAGAAGTGGCATGGCACCCCAGCTGACCTCACAGTGGGTACAGTACTCTTAATGATGGGCCCCCAGTTTCCCAGAGCATTCTGGCCAATTAATAGAGTGATAAAACTGAATCATAGCGAAGATGGTCATGTGAGATTGGCAGACGTTCATGTCAAAGATAAGATCTAAACCCGTCCGTAGTCTGACTAATTGTTCTCACAGAAATCCCAGAGTCTGAGGAGAATGAGAAATGCCCTCCAGTGACCTCAGAATAAAAGTTATCCTTTTACATGAGCAAATTGCACACAATTTGGGGACGGCTGTGTAAAGGCCCTATAATAGTGACTCTCATTCAGAGACTTTTATTCTGAAATCGTGGCACATAATGAAACCTGAAAAGGCGCTACTGAATACAGAGAGAACTGTTGTTGCATCATCCACTTCCGATAGAGGCTCGTTCTCTGAAGTGGAAACGTGCATTACTGCTATACTGAATGTCTGACTGGATATAATTGTGCTTCTGTGTGTGTTATAAGAAACCACAACCTTTATAAGCACAACACATCGGCTACAGGCTCATCTAATCAGGACATCACAAAAATAACAGCTAAGCGATTGCAATCTTGTGAAGAAAGGGCTCTTATATTCGTCTATTTGTCTAAGTAATACCGCATAGCACTCTGCAGACTCTTTTGGATCATTTGCTGCGTCCGAAACTGCATACTTCCATACTATATAGTATGCTAAAATTAGTATGCAAGCCGAGTTGTATGTCCGAATTCATACAATTCGAAAATCAGTATGCGAGAAGTACCCGGATGACTTACTACTTCCGGCAAGATTCTGGAGTGCGCATCGCATGCATGCTGCGCTATCCCATAATGCCCTGCGAGCGAATTCATGAATGGGAGTAAAGCGACGCAATTGACGCAGGTAGGTCACGTGATTATGACAAAATGGCAGATGTAGTACGTCCGAACTTCATTCATACTTTTCACATTCATACTGTATAGAACGTACTTTTCTGTTGGCCGAGTATTACGTTTAAATTCAAATGCAGTACCTACTGAGTAGTAGGCGGTTTCGGACGCAGCCATAGTCTTTACACACATACTGCAAACCAATCCCAAGGCTGGGCCTAAATGTCATGTCTGTGTGCTACTGGTAGTAGTGCTCTGTAATTCATTCATCATCCTCTGAACCTGTGCACCTGAAACACATCAGTGTCATTTTGCCTGTCAACATTGCTACATGCCTTTTCGGTGGAGCCCAAACCATGATACTCCACCTTTTACTGACATCTTTAGAAACTTTTATATTTTTATATATAAAAAAGTTTATATTTGCAGACATAAACTGCAAGAATTGAGCAGGAATTGAGGCATCTTGAGGCACTCTGTCTTTGTTTGCTTTTCCAGCTCAAAAAACTGTGATCATTGCCATTTTAAATGAATTATCATTGCAATGTATTAAGACACAAAAAGCAGTCAGCACTAAAACAGTGAATACTAGTCACAAACAATAGTCATAATCATAAGTATTAACAGTCCTTTGGTAATTCAGAAATAATTATATAATGCAAAAATTACATTAAGGTAATGTTTCTCTTTTTAGATAAATTTATCCTTCTGTATAACCAGAACCAGAATTAATCTGTTTCAGAAATAATTTCAGGAAAATCTTCACAAAAATTATTTCATTTAAATGCACGTTTTGGGTAGAAAACACTTTGTATAATAAGAAATTTAGTACTATTTGTCTAGTTATGTTTTTTTATTTTTTTGAGTTTCAGTACTATGTTCTTAGGATCCTTTACAGCTCAGCCATATAAAAGTTTACAGTGCTAATGAATGTTACACAGGCTTGCTTGTTTTTAATGACTTTAATAACATTTAATAAGTGATAAATGCAAAGACAGCACTTATTTTAATATGTTTCTAATCTATCATTTCACATTAATAGTAAGGCTTTAATCAAATGGTAATAAATTTTAATCAATACACACATTATTATATAACATTAAACACCCGTGATGCGCACACACACTTTTTTTGCAGTTGTAAATAAATGTTTCATGATTGTCATGATTGGTCACTGTGATGAACCATAAAAAAACAGCCAGCACTTACAAGTTATTAATCCTCAATTTTCTGAAAATATACAATAATTTAGCCCTAATTGGACCTAACTTTATACCATAGATTACAGGATTAACAATAGGGGGAACAGTCAGGTTTATTATAGACAAAAATGTATATACTACATGAGACAGTGTTTCTACTTTAAACTGTGTGCAGACAGAATCAGAAAGACCACAGGTTGTGTTCAGAAATGAAATCAAGTGTGGTATACATGTGCTGTAGAACTTCTCTCGACTTACTTTTGATTTTCTACAAGCAAGAATGATTTTAAAATAGGAAAAAAGAACAAAAACAAAAAAGACACCCATGCTAATATAGACAAATCCATTAAATGTTCCTTGAAAAAAATCTTGTTTGCACGCAAGATTCAGCAAGGACAGGTTTTCACAGAAAATCCTATTAATGTCATGCCTGCAAAGAGGATACTTCAGAGTCAATGAGATTGACATTGCACCTACAGAACAAGGAAATACCCAAATAAAAGTCACCAGGCTCAGCACAGTAAAAGGAGACATAATTCTATGATAATGTAATGGTCGACATATGGCTATGTATCTATCAACAGCCATGACACTTAAATTTGTGAATTCACCAATTGAAAAGACAATGATGACAAAACCTTGAACAATACATTCCGCATGTAAAATAACATTTCTTTCTGTGAGTAAATATGTTAAGGCCCTGGGATAAAACCCAGTGGTTCCACACAGATCATTGATACACAGATTACACAAGAAAATGTACATGGGCTCATGCAGAGCTTTCTCAAATGCAATAATCATAATCAAGGTGGCATTTAGAACAATAGTCAGCAGGTAACAAGGAAGTGCAAAAGAAAAAAATAAGATCCTGCTGGTCCAGTCCCAGTCATTCAGAGCTGTGACAATGAGAATATGGGAAGAGGAGATGTTTTCCATTCCTTCAGCAAATCTGCCTCAATAATCACTCAAAAACTCACAAGTAATTTAGTGTTTCTCTTGTGTTCAGTTTTGTGTGTTTTATGCTTTTGGAAAACTACAAATAATTAAAAATAGACTCATAAGCAATATGACATAAAGCCCCTAAAATGACAGAAGCAACAACTGGAAGTCTTGAAAGGCTGTGAGGTTTGGATAAGGCCTCTGAGCACCTCTTTTAGAGATCCACCCTTTGCTCTGCTCACTGCTGTATGAGAACTTTATATACAGTCAGATACGCAAAACATCATGGTGATCAAATAGTCCTTTGATAATTCAGGTATTATTATACAGTGCAAAGATGACTATGACATTTTCTACTGTAACAATGCTTACTTTTTTAAGAATCTCTTCCTTTTTAAGAAATAATATTGGCTAAATGAAACCATCCACTTGTGGCATGGATATTGTCCATCCAATTCAGACAATTATAAATAACAGTCTTACCACTGTTGTTGTACCACAGAGTTTTAATCACACAGTAATTGAACCATTAATCAAATATGCAAATTCAATTTGCTTTTCCCACTGGAACATGACTTTATTCTTGTGTATTAACATATTAATGGCTGTTTTTTTGTAATTATTTGTGAAATCTAGCAGTTTATGGGTGAAATTATAAATGCAAAAATAACTGCTACTCTTTCAGTGTAATAGTTATTGAAAAGCTTAATACAGAAATCTCATCAGTTGAGTGTTTGCGGAAACCAGTGATATTTCAATGTTCTTACAATGGTCTATATTTATTGTATGTGAAAAACACCAGCTGATTTTTAAGTATTGTTATGTTTTCATGCAAAATATTATTTATTTATTTTGTTTCATCACGTTTATATGGGGAGATTATCTAATAAGAATAAAGGATCAACTAATGCAATACTTAAAACTTTGGATGTGTCACATTTGCTTTTGTCGTCTGCAAAATATGTACAATAGATTTTCTTATCATCATAATACAAAAAATAAAAAGAATATTAAACTGGTTTTGTTTTGGCTAGAGGCAGTAAACAAGCACATGGCAAAAGAAAATGACTTACCAATAATCTATTAAATATCATGGTTGTATTATAGGTTTCTTCCAGAAGATAGCATCATGATGGTATCGCTTTAATATTCATTTTCTTTGTTTAATTTCAGTGTTGGCGTTGATCACAACACCTTGTACAGCTCAGCTGTATTTATGATTACATACAGTATACTGTAATAATGCATAAAACACAGGCCTGGTTTGTTTTTATTGACATTATACATTAAGCAACAGTGTATGAAAACAGTTGTTTCAGCTGCTCGGAATAAAACATTTAATCACAGCCACTTTTATTAAAGTGTCACTGTGATGCATCATAAAAACAGTCAGCCTTAAATATTCTCTAACAGTGTACAGCTACAGTTCATTTAATCTTTGGCCTTTAAAAATATAAAATATTTTTGCTCTGATTGGACCTAACTTTATACCGTAAATTAGAGGGTTGACAAAAGGGGGAAGAGTTAAGTTTATTATAGACAAAAAAGTATATACTATACGAGACAGTGTTTCTACATTAAAATGTGTGCAAAGAGAATCAGATATACCACAGCTTGTGTTCAGAAAGGTAATCAAGTGTGGCATACATGTGCTGTAGAACTTCTCTCGACATACTTTAGATTTTCTACAAGCAAGAATTATTTTTAAATAGGAAAACAGAACAAAAACCAAAAGGACACTCATGCTAATGTAGAGAAATCCATTAAATATCCCTTGAAAAAAATCTTGTTTGCACGCAAGTTTCATCAAGGAAAGGTGTTCACAGAAAAGTTTGTTAATGTCATGTCTGCAAATAGGATACTTCAGAGTCAATGAGATTGCCATTAGACCCACAGAAGAAGAAAATACCCAAATAAAAAACAGCAGGCACAGCACTGTGAAAGGTGACATAATACTATGATAATGTAATGGTCGACATATGGCTATGTACCTATCAACAGCCATGACACTTAAACTTGTGAATTCACCAACTCCATAGACAATGATGACAAGATCTTGAACAATACATTCCTCAAGTGAAATCACATTTCTTTCTGTAAGTAAATATGTCAATGCCCTGGGATAAAACCCAGTGATTCCACATAGATCATTGATACACAGATTACACAAGAAAATGTACATGGGCTCATGCAGAGCTTTCTCAAATGCAATAATCATTATCATGGTGGCATTCAGAACAATAGTTACAAGATATACAAGAAGTGCAAAGGAAAAAAATAAGATCCTGCTGGTCCAGTCCCAGTCATTCAGAGCCGTGACAGTAAGAATGTGCATGGGAAGAGGAGATGTTTTCCATTCCTTCTCCGAATCTGCTTCCGGATCAGTCCAGGCTGACACAAATAATCTAGTGTTTCTCTTATGTTCAGTTTTGTGTCTTGTGTTCTACTGTTGGAGGATTTATTAAAGGCAGAATATTGTAAAACATTCAAAATGACAAAAGCAAAAACTGTCTTGTCTTGAAGGGCTGTGAGGTTTAGAGAAGGCCTCAGTCAGAACACCTCTTTAAGAGATCCACCCTTCACTCTGCTCTCGGCTGAATGAGAGAACTTTATATACAGTCAGATACGAAAAGCACTGTGATGATCTAATAGTCCTTTGATAATAATAAAATAATTATACAATTCAAAGATGACCTTGACAGTTTCTACTGGACTTTATTCTTGCAATAACATATCACCAACATTTTTTGTAATTATTTGTGAACTAGCAGTTAATGAGTAAATATGGTTTTAAAATAAATTCTACTCTTTTAGTGTAATAGTTATTAATAATCAGAAATCTCATCAATACAGTGATATTAAATTCTTCCTACAATGCCTATATTCATTGTATGTAAACAACACCAGCTGGTTTTGAATTATTGTTATGTTTTCATGCAAAATCACATTTTTACTCTTAGTTTGATCAAGTTTATACTGGGACCTTATATAATAAGTATAAAGGATCAACTAAACAATATTTAAAACTTTGGATGTGTCACATTTGCTTTTGTTGTCTGCTTAATATTTATAATAGATTGTCTTATCATCATAATATAAATGATAAACACAATATTAAGCTGATTTTGTTTTGGCAAGAGGCAGTTAAAAAAACACTTGAAAAAAGAAAATGACTTGCCAATAATCTATTAAAGTCATAGATGTAAAATAGGTTTCTCCCAGAAGATGGCACCATGATGGTATTGCTTTAATATTTATTTTCTCTGTTGAATTTCAGTGGTGTCATTGCTCCCCCCTGTACAGCTAAGCTGTATTTATGATTACCTACAGTATACTGTAATAATGCAAAAAACACAAGTATGGTTTGTTTTTATTGACATTATACATTATGTAACAATGTATGAAAACAGTTGTTTCAGCTGCTCAGAATAAAACATTTAATCACAGCCACTTTTAATAAAGTGGCACTATGATAAAAACAGTCAGCTTTCAATAGTCTCTAACACAGTATAAAGCATACAGATACAATTTATTTAATTTTTGGTCTTTGGAAAATATACAATATTTTTGCTCTAATTGGACCTAATTTTATACCATAAATTAGAGGATTGAGAAAAGGGGGAACAGTCAGGATTATTATAGACAAAAAAGTATGTTCTACATGAGACAGTGTATCTATGTTAAATTTTGTGTATAGAGAATCAGAAAGACCACAGGTTGTGTTGAGGAAGGAAATCAAGTGTGGTATACATGTGCTGAAGAACTTCTCTCGACTTACTTTAGATTTTCTACAAGCAAGAATGATTTTTAAATAGGATAATAGAACGAAAACAAAAAGGAAACTCATGATGATAAAGATAAATCCATTAACAATTCCTTCAAAAATATCATGTTTGCATGCAAGATTCAACAAGGAAAGGTGTTCGCAGAAAAGTTTGTTAATGTTGTGTCTGCAAATAGGATACTTCAGAGTCAATGAGATTGCCATTAGACCCACAAAGCAAGAAAATACCCAAATAAAAGTCACCAGGCTCAGCACAGTGAAAGACGACATAATTCTATGATAATGTAATGGTCGACATATGGCTATGTACCTATCAACAGCCATTACACTTAAACTTGTGAATTCTCCAGTTGCATATATGACAATGACAAGACCTTGAACAATACATTCCTCATGAGAAATCACATTTCTTTCTGTGAGTAAATATGTCAATGCCCTGGGATAAAACCCAGTGATTCCACATAGATCATTGATACACAGATTACACAGGAAAATGTACATGGGCTCATGGAGAGCTTTCTCAAATGCAATAATCATAATCAAGGTGGCATTCAGAATGATAGTTAGAAGGTATCCAGGAAGTGCAAAAGAAAAAAATAAGATCCTGCTGGTCCAGTCCCAGTCATTCAGAGCTGTGACAGTAAGAATGTGGGAAGAGGAGATGTTTTCCATTCCTTCTCCTCACAGAGAACACTTCTGAACACCTCTTTAAGGGTTCCACCCTTCACTCTACTCACGGCAGAATGAGAGAACTTTATATACACTCAGATAAGCAAAACATCATGATGATCTAATAGTCCTTTGATAATTCAGGAATAGGTATACAATGCAAAAATTACCTTGGCTTTATAGATATTGAAATATTAATATTAAATTAAATCAGATCAAAGATTTTTGTAATTCTATTTGAATGACTTGAAATTATTATAAGCCGTATCACAGTGTTTAAAAATAAAACAATCAATTCATTCTGGAATAATTATTCTTTTCTTTAAAATATTTATTACATGGCTCTCTGGAATACTTGATTCTTATTGGTCAGTCATATCATTCCAATCAATATTTTTTTTCCAATAAAAACTGCTAAAACTAATTACACAGGCTCATTTGGGTACTAAAACTCATCTTGGTCATTAATAAATATCTCTATCTATCCTTATCTGGCACACTGCTCTTCTTAATTGTTTGGTGCCATTTTAAAACATATTAGTAATAAAAAGTAGGGTGTAGGCATCATCAAGCCATTTGTTAAGATTATTTTCTTTTTCTTTCTGCAAGCTTTACATTTAATTAAAGAGTTAGTAAATTATTACATCTCAGATCAATGTTTTGTGTCTACTTGTTTACCTTTGTGGCCAGTGGCAAATTTAGGCATGGGCAATAGGGCTGATTGCCATATCTGCCAACATTTGTCCTCCACATTCCAGGAGACCTTCTACTGACGTTGCTACCATTGCCGCTAAAATCCTGCCTGCACAATAATTAACAGCACAACTGGGTTGTATCGTACAGTGTTTCCTCTAGGATTTTTCCAGCTGTGGCGGCAGGCCTTTTTTTACACAGATCTACCAACAACCTGTGGCGTTATTTCAATGACAAATGTCGTGAGTGCAGTATTAGAAGTCGAGATCGCATTTATGTAATAGCCTACAGCAGTGGTTCTCAAACTTTTTTCACCAAGTACCACCTTAGAAAAAAATCGTCTCTCCAAGTACCACCTTACGACACTATTTTTTGACCAGTATTAAAAAACAGCGTTTTAAGCCTAATTAAGCAGCTACAGGTGTGCACAGTTTTAAAACGATACAGATTACTTCCTATTAGTAAGAATATGTGTTATTGTCAGTCACTTTAAACATCTGAAATAGTCTGAACATTAACTGTGCTTGCAGATAAAAAAAAATTTTTTGTTAAAATGTGCTTTTAAAAGTTCATTAAAAAATGGCGCTGTTCTTAAAAAGTAAAAAGAAAACTGCTGTACTTAAATCTAAAGTATTCATAGTAGCCTATTCATCAAAAGCTGGAAATGCTGCTTGGACCTTATAAATATAGGCTATATGTCATATTCATACACTTTCAGACAAATCTTGAAATAAATGTTAAATGTACATGACAGGGTTCATACAGGCACAGCCTAATGAAAATCAATTCCAGCACCTATTTTTTTTTTCAAGACTGACATGCTATGTATTGAAGACCTGAAATGTATTCTCAGCAACCCATAAAACATTGCATAGGAATAGATACAAATAAAAACCATTAATAATAATATTTATTAATCATATATTAATAATATAATAAACCTGCACTAAATGCTCGAGAAATCTTTTTTGTACTCAAGTAAAAATACTTTTAAACTGCTAAAATACATTTTTTTTTAGTAAATAATACTAATATTAGGTAAAAGTACAAATTACTCTTTTAAAAAGTACTAGTTGGTTACTTTTGAAAAAAAATCTGATTTTCATTATGAAATCACTTTTTTTTTAAGTGTAAACCTAATTTAATGGTTTGATTGCTTACATCCCAAAGCTACATGTATAATTTGCACTAACAAAGGAAGTATAGTAAATTTTTCCTTTCATGTCAATTAATCTTTTTCAATAGCACTGGTAAAACTACCAAATAATCTTTAAGGCCATAGAGACACTTTTTGCCCATTTTTAAAAATATATATTTTTAAGCTTTGAAAGGTTAAATTAAAGTATATGGTAAAAAGATTTAAATTTAGCCTTTTATTTACATATTTTACACTATTTTCTTTACAATATGGCAAATTTGTTTCTTAAATAGCTGTACATCACATGTAGATTTTATTTTACACTTGATCTTAATCTAAAATAGAAACTTAAAAAAATACAAGTACACTGTCAGTAAAAAAATAAAACAAATGACTTCATTTTACTTGAGGTATTTGAAATATGACAACACTACATTTATCAAAGCAGTGCTTTAAGAGCCTTATTGAAAATTGTGATAAATAAACAATAAGTAGGCTAACAATGGATTGCTTTGACCTGTAATGCTTTAGGACAGATCAGAATACAGCTAAATGTATAAATCACACAAATACCTCATCCAGAAACATTTCCAGCACAGTGGCGTAGCGCAAAATGCGGAGGCCCCCCTGCAGGGATCGCTGACTGGGCCCCCTGATGAAGAGGGGGGGATACGTCATACGTCAATTTGCATATCACTGACGTCATCACGTTTTACCGTTTCTGTTTGTTTAACAGCCTATGGTTAATAAAGGGGTATTTATAGTTGCACTACACTTTATATAAGCATGTTTATTTAACTAAATTTATTGCTGTTTGAATACAGTATGTCAGTATAGATGTGTAGTGAATGTGCAGTAATCTCTCATATGTAATACACTCAGAACAAGTTCATAAACTGTCACTAAAATATCTGTGATTGTGAACAAGAAAAGAATAAACGGTCCAATTAAATTGTTAAAATAAAGTAGAAGTAGATCGGTTTGACTGTACAAAAGAAATACCTTTACACTGCCTGTGCTAAATCATTTGTCGTCGGTACGCAGAGGCGTGATCTGCTCTCGGGCTGCAGGTGGGAGAGGCTGCTGTACGAGGACTGACTGGGCCGCCTGTCAGTGCTGTGAGGCGGGGGAGGGGTCGGCGGCATCACACGCAGCTCGTTGAGAAGAGTAGGGACGGTACAGTATGGACAAATGACAGTCTAAAAAAATCTCCAATAACACACAAAAAAGTCGCTAGATTTGTCGCTAGGGGGGTCTGAAAAGTCGCTAAATCTAGTGACAAAGTCGCTAAGTTTGCAACATTGGCGGCAAGCAATCAGAATGAAGTAGTCCACCGCTTGAGAGGTGTTCAGAGAACACAGACCTGTGAACTTTGGTTCCGACCACAGTTGTTCCCAAGAGTTTTATTATTGCGGTTGCCGGTGGATTTTTAATTATTGAAAATCGCGATAAACCGGGGCCCCCTAATCACGCGGGCCTCCCCCGCGGTGCGTGCCCTGCGGGCCCATCCGCTACGCCACTGTTCCAGCATAATTATTTCGTCGTAAAGAAATAAAAAATGTTCCACCTTTGCTAAAAGTAAGTTTCACTTCACAACACAGCCAAATAAAAATACCATTAGCATTGTCATCGATCATGTATCAATCTATTTCTAAATATTTGATAACTTTGAATACTTTTGACTAAATTTAGTTAAGGAGCAAAGATAAATAATGTTTGCTTTAATAGTGGAGAGATCGCGGTTGTATTCTATCTGAGCACACATGCGAACATGAGAGCACTTGCAGTTCATTTGAAAAAAGCCTATTTAAGAGCTCGCATATCTGTTTTAGCGATTTGAGTACATGAATGCGCTCTCGTGTTAAAATAAAGCACTCGCCGCATTTGCAGAAATGAGTTATTGCGCAATACCTTCATTCCCGCGCCGCCATTCAGACTGTGTTTAGAGGAGTGACAGGTCAAAGGCGAGTCGACTGGCTGTCGGAGAGCGAAACGTGTTTGAAGATCATCAAATAGGCAGGAAATATGTCCGCGGTTTAATTACTCTGCTAGACATCTCTGTAGTGAAAACATCCGAGAAGCATTATTCCAACAAAACTTTTGTTTTTAAGTTGTTTTTTCTGTCTCTGCAACACAGACAGCTTTTGTCCCGCCCTTACGTTTCACGCAACTAGACAAGGTCGACTGTGATTGGCCACTTTTCATGTCAGTCAAATCACGCTTCAGAATCAATTCTTAAACTTCGGAAACTGATTTTCAGCAGCTTATGACACAATGCACTAAAATAAACATTCTAAGCACAGCGTTGTGATCGTACGCTTCACAAAACAGCCAATGCTGATCACATCAATGTTATATTATGCATTAAAGGATTAAAAGTGTTAATTGTTTCTTTCATTATTCAGCGATTCCTCCGCGTACCACTAGGAGGAAGCCCGCGTACCACTTGTGGTACGCGTACCACAGTTTGAGAACCACTGGCCTACAGCATGGGATCTCTTTGCTTGCGTGCCGATCTTCTTGTGCGCTCTCAAATAAACGCTGCTGAAGTGAGATTTAGTGCGTTTATGTCTCTAGCATTTATCAGAGTTGCTAGGAATATTTAGGAATGTCTCTAATAGACCTACAGAGGGATAATAATGTGTCCTGAAGTAAAGTGAACGGCTATACGTCATGTTTGCTGGCCTCACGCATCATGCACCTGTCAGTCAGACAGTCATCACGTAATCTTAAGGGTTAAACAAACGACGCACAGCACTACTACGGTTACAGAAAAGTTTGCGCTGTTATAATTCACTTACTTTTTAATATGTTTTGGTGCAATTATCACCCGCCATTAAAAAAATTTAATGTTTTAAATGAGAAGCTGTAATGTAGCTGTGGCAGGATGAAATTTGGCGTGGTGCCCCACAAAAAAGTTTTGATGTTTGAATTTTTCATCAATTATGTCAGGTGATGAGCTTTATTCAAGATCTGACAACTTAACAAACAGGGACAATAAGTGCTTTTTCATAACTAGATTGAGTCATACAAATTAAATGCATTTACTGAGAGAAATAACAAATTGGAGGTGTGGCGACTTCTGGGAAAATGGGAGTGTTGGCAGGTATCATTACTTCGAACCGTATTTCGTTGCATTGTACTTGTACATGTGTAATGACAATAAAGTTGA